CGTATATGCGTATGTCTTGTCTGTCTGTCGGTCTGTAGGTATCAATGTACGTATACATGCATGTATGTGTGTATGCATGCATGTATGTATGCATGCATGTATGTATGTATGCATGCATGTATGTACATATGTAGGTGTGTATGTATGTATGTACGCATGCATGCATGCACGTAGGTGTATGTTTGCTGTGTACGTGTGTATGTGTGTATGCAATCATGAACATCTGCATACATGTATGCGGGTAGGTATATGTATAGGTATATGTACACGTACATGTACATGTGCATGTCCATGTACATGTACATGTATAGGTATATGTATGGGTACACGTATGTGTACATGTACGTATGTGGTTAAGGAAGTTTGCATGTATGTATACACGTATGCCTGCGCGCATGCATGCGTGTATGTGTGTATGTATGTATGTATGCATTTGTGTATGCATGTATGTGTATATGTATGTATGTTTGTGGATGTATGTATGTAGCTATGCATGCATGCATGCATGCATGCTTGTACGTATGTATGTATGTATGTATGTATGTATGCATACATGCAAGCATGTATGTATGTATGCCTGTATGTATGTATGAATGTATATGTATGTATGTATGTATGTATGCATGTATGTATGTATGTATGTATGTATGTATGTATGGACGTATGTATGTATGTATGTATGTATGTATGTATGTATGTATGTCTATATGTACGTAAAAAGGCGTGTATATGTACATACGTGTACTAATGTACGTGTGTATCACCTACATTTGTACATATGTGTATTCATATGTTTCGTAGTTGCATGTGGCCGTATAGGTCTACCGGCCTATGTGTACACGTATAGATTGTATGTGTGGTAGCAACCCCACGCTTTTCTATTCTGATTGTTGGTTGGTTGTCGCCCAGTGGCACCTGGCCAAGCCACTCGCGTTGTCGCGCAAGCGGGACTTCTGTCGCAGGCAAGGCTGGGGGTTTCCCACATGGCCCGCGAAGGCGTCACGGTGCGTGCGCGCCAGGAGCTGGGGGCGACACCTTGCCCGCCAGGCAATAGTTCGTCCGCCAGGGTAACCCGTGTGCTGGCAGACTGGCTAATGCGGGCCGCGAGCAACGCCCAGCGTCGTCTCATGCTGTGTCCGAGGCTATCTGGAGGAATGCAATGATTGCGAAGTCTGTAGCGAATTTGGCTGCGCGCGTCTTGCCGTGTTGGCCCCATCTCGCGTTCCGTGGGTCGCGGCTGTCCGAGACGTTCTCGGAAGGCAAGGTTCGGGCATGCATGTGTAGCGTGGGCAAATCGTGGCAGTGCTCTGTCTGTGTGCGTGGAGCGCGGTTGGGTGCCCGACCTCTTGCAGGAGGTTGTGTGGGCCCCGACGGGCTGTCAAGGACCTGGGCCATGCGATGGCCACGTTCGACTGCTCGGACGGATGTTTCGTCGCTTTCTGCACCTTAGGTGCAAGTTGTACTCTTACGGAACTCCAGGTTCGCGTCGTCAGGGCTCAGTGTCCGCCCCGCCATGTTGTTATGGCGGATCACGGGGCGCGAGGCCGTCGGTGCAGCTGGTTTCGCATACTGAAAGGCCCTTCCGAAACTCAGTACTGTGCAGTTGCATTTTTTCCGGGACGAGTTGTGGTCGGGTCGTCGCAGGTTCGTCGCACGCCAATGTCCAGTCGGCCTGCTATGGGCCTTGCGGATCATATTGGCGCCGTCGTCGGGGTGCGTCCCCGTTCGCGCGACCTGGCCCCTGTCCAGGTGCACTCCGGTCCTTCGGTGGCAGGAGGCGCCTGCGAGGGTCCACCCGCCCGTGGGTCTCAGGAGCAGGTTCCGCCTCATTGGGCGCCCTGGCAAGCCCGCGGCCCTTTGGCAGGCTGTCGCGCGCGCCGTCGGGGGTCGCAGTTCGGCGCCGTCGCTGGGCTGCATCCCCAGTTATGGCAGCCCAGCGTGGGGCTTGTCTTGCCGCCTGGCCTTCGGCTGCGCCTCCTGTGCGTTCTCGACAGCCTGTCGTCCATGGTTGGTGATGCAAAATCCTGCTCATTCTGCTCCTCGTCTTCTTGCTTCCGTTCCTCTTATCCTCTTTTTGTTCGTCCTCTCGGCCTCCCCTTCCCTTCCTTGTGTGTGCAAAGCCAGAGCCTTAAGTTAGTCATCAACCTCGCCATTTCCTCAGTATGATCAACCGAAGAACTTCCTTTCTCTCCGCTTCTGCTCCTCGGTGCGCCGCTCGCGTTCCCCTCCCGCTCTTATCCTTCGCCCCCTCTTTCCTATCCTTAGCCCCTCCCTGCCCCCATTCTCCGTCATTCGGTTGGCCCCAGAGTTGGCCCTCGTGGCTTTTGTATCAGACATCCCCTCCTCTCTTCTTCGTCGTCCCTCCCCTGCGTGACTGTCCAGACCGTCGCGGCACATGCACGACAAAAAACACAAGACAATATGTTCTGTCATGTTCTGCTCGAGTATGTTCTGTGATATGCTGGTGTCCTTTATTGGAGAGGCCTGACGGCCGGTGCCGCCGACCCTGATCGAAAGGGCTAGGAGTGGGGGGAGGAAGCGGAGGAGGAGGAGGAGGAGGAGGAGGAGGAGGAGGATGAGGAGAAGGAGGAGGAGCAGGAGGAGGAGGAGGAGGAGGAGGAGAAGAGGAGGAGGAGGAGGAGGAGGAGGAAGCGGAGGAAGAGGAGGAGGAGGAGGAAGTGCATCCTTTGTGTGCCCGCTCGAAGAAAGTGCGCCCCGGGAGTGTGATATTCTGACTTGGGACGTGCTCCCGGAAGAGGAAGAAGTGCATCTCGGGCGTGCACACTCGAGGAAAATGCGCGGTGGTATTTTGACTCGGGGCCCGCTCCCGGGACGCCTCTGCGGGAGGAGGAGGAGGAGGAGGAGGAGGAGGAGGAGGAGGACAAGGAGGACAAGGAGGAGAGGAGCAGGAGGCGGAGGAGGAGGAGGAAGAGGAGGAGGAGGACCAGGAGGAAGAGGAAGTGCATCCCGTGTGTGCCCGCTCGAGGAAAGTGCGCCCCTGCGGGCGTCGTATCTGCCCCGGCCCCCCCCCCTCCCCCCTGCGGGGAAGGGATCAAAGGGAAGGGGCTTCCCTTCGACTCCACTACGACGTCGTTTAATTTCGCTTTGGATAGCGCGCTTGAGGAAGAGATCCCTGGGAGGGGGAGAACGGAGACGACGGAGACGACGAGTCGAACGGAGAAACCCCTCACACACGCCGACAGGGTCGGCGGATTTTGTCATGATATTGATCTGTTATGTATCGCCATGTTCTGTCATGCCCTTGCTCTGTATTGTCATGTTCTGCTGTGTCATATTGGGTTCTGTCGTGTTTGTCGAGGGCGCGGGGCGGGACACCGGGGACACTCGGGACAATTTGGGGTCTGGTGGCCGCGGTATGCAGGGTGTGTTCTGTTGTGTTTGTCGAGGGCGCGAGGCGGGATAACCGGGACACTCGGGACAATTTGGGGTCTGGCGGCCGCGGTATGCAGGGTGTGCTCTGTCGTGTTTGTCGAGGGCGCGAGGCGGGATAACCGGGACTCTCAGGACAATTTGGGGTCTAGCGGCCGCGGTGTGCAGGGTGTGTTCTGTGGTGTTTGTCGAGGGCGCGAGGCGGGATAAGTGGGACACTCGGCACAACTTGGGGTCTGCCGGCCGCGGTATGCAGGGTGGGAGTGGCCAGGAGGTCTGTCCTTAAAATCTAGCGACCCCAATCTGTCCGGTGGGGAACCCAAGCAAAACACAAACAAACACTAAACATACAAACAAAACCAGACGGAACAAACAAAACAACACAAACAACACAAAAACCACACACGCACAAAAACTGACTTTGCACACACAACTTTCCCCCCTTCTCTGCCTCCCTCATCCTCCCCGTCCTCCCCCATCCTCTCTCCGCCTCCGTTCTTTTCCTCCTCTCTTTCCTCGTCCTCTTGACCCCGCAGGGGAGAGGTAGGGGGTTCATGGGTCCTGCTTCTCGATTTGTTGGCAAAAGAGTCCCCGCGGAAGCGATACCAAGCGGTGTTGTGGTTACTCCTCTGTCTAGTTATTTGTTCGCTTTATTATGCAGGTTGCAGTCATGAATCGCTTGATCACAGTCTTTACTGGCTGGTTGACTCTTACGATTGTCACTCCGTGTCAAGCAACTTCGATATTGTAGCTGACTCAAAGCGATGTTTGGTTGGAGAGTGGACTCATGTTCGCATGTGTACCCGTGGTGCGCTCCCAATCTGTCCAGATGCCTGTCTGGAATGCCACGGGCTCAGAGTTGAGTCCCTGAGACCTGACGTCGTGAAGCAAATCGCAACGTAGTGAAGCACAAACATTGGCTGGGGTCAGAGGTCGGGGCGAAAACGCCTGCCCTGAGCTTTTCGTGACGTCCAGATCGAAGGTCCCAAGAGGTCCCTGAAGGTTTGTGAGATCTAATACGAGCTTCTTTGAGCTCCCCGAAAAGGTTTCCGTAGGCTTCCGGAGGCCTCTGGAGGAGAAGGACGACGACGGGGGAGGAGGAAGATGGGGGGGTGGAGAGAAGGGAAGGGAGCGTAAATGAAGGTGGATTGGGGGGCCCTCGTGACGACCACGACGACGACGTCGGCGACGGCGACGGCGACGTCGGCGACGTCGGCGACGACGACGACGACGACGACGTCGGCGACGGGGACGACGACGACGGCGACGACGACGGCGACGATGACCGACGTTGGGACGTCTCTGAAGGTCTCTGGAGGCCTCTGTGGGCTCCAGAGGTCCGAGCAGGGCCCCAGGGCCCTCGAGCGGTTCCGACGACGTCCGAAGGCGAAGGCTTCCGAAGACGCCCGAACGCCTCGCGACGAGGGGGCCCTCCGAAAGGCGTCCGTGGGCCCCTCGCACGCCTTCGAAGTCGCCCAGAGGCCGCGCGACGAGGGGGCCCTCTCGAGGAGCGTCGCGCCGCCCCTTCGGCCCCGGGCTCGCGCCACCCCCCTCGGGGCAGCGTGCGCGGCGCGCGCGCGCGGCCTGCGCCGCCCCCGCGCGCGCGCGAGGCGCGGCAGGTGGAGCTGCGCGCCGACGCGGACGAGTTCGTCCCGCAGGCGGCGCGCGCCGGCGCGCTCGGGGAGGGCGAGGCTGCATCGACGACGAGGGGTCGCGGCCCGAGGGTCGAGAAGGAGGAGGAGGAGGAGGAGGAGGAGGAGGAGGAGGAGGAGGAGGAGGAGGAGGAGCAGGAGGAGGAGGAGGGACCAAACAAGGAGGAACAGGAGGAGGGCGGAGGTGGAGGAAGGAGGAGGAGGCGGAGGCGGAGGAGGAGGAGGAGGAGGAGGAGGAGGAGCAGGAGGAGGAGGAGGGACCAAACAAGGAGGAACAGGAGGAGGCGGAGGTGGAGGAGGAGGAGGAGGCGGAGGTGGAGGAGGAGGAGGAGGAGGAGGAGGAGGAGGAGAAGGAGGAGGATGGATCGAGGGTCGAGGATCGAGGAAGCCACCCATGCCTCCCACGCGCTGACAAGAGCTATACCGAAGTCTTTCGCCATCTTCGGTCTCTGGATGCCCTCGCCAGGCCCCGAGGCCGTCAAACATATATTCAAAATGGACAAAGCTGGCCCTGGGGAATAGATCGGGACTTTCGGGGACCCGGTATCAGAAAAGTCAAGACATCAGATCTGCTGGTATGCCGCAGTTTTTTCCTCGATTTCGGTCCCCAAGCGGCCAGGTCCGGGCCCCAGCGCTGTCAAGAATCGATCCAGGGCGAAATACTTCTGAGCCTGTGCCTTTGTTTCGACGGGATTTTGGGAGGGGGGGGGATCCAGGATTGAGTTTCGAGAGTGTTTTTGCTGAGCGGTCTCCCTTTTCTGGGCCGCTGGGGGGTCCCTCGTCCCCGCGCCCCTCGGGGCTGATAAATAGACCCCGCGGGGCGCGATTTGTTTTTGTTTTTTTGTAGCACGCGCCCTAGGGGGTCGTCGCTGGCGCCGCCGAGGGGATCATTTACCCCCCTGCATGGCAGCCTCAAAACGATTGACTTTCGTATAGAAGTTGTTATACGGGTCGTACACATCCGAGTGAATTTTCGTTCCCCCTTTCAGGCGTCGTCGTCGTCGTCGCCGCCGCCGCCGCCGTCGTCGTCGTCGTCGTCGTCGTCATCTTCTTCTTTTTCGTCGTCCTTGTCGTCGTCGTCGTCGTCGTCGATTACAGCGGGCCTGCGCAGCACCACCCCCCATAGGGCATCCGCAGTGCGTCGTCGTCGCCGCCGTCGCTGTCTGCCGTCTGCCGTCCGCCGTCCGTCGTACTCGTCTTCGTCCTGTCGTCGTCGTCGTCGTCGTCGTCGACGAAGAGAGCGGCCGCTGGAAACGGGCGCAGGCAGGGCGGGGGACGGCGGCGACGACGGCGACAGAGGGGGGGAGGAGGACTACCCGCCTTGCTCGGGTCGGACGAAAAGCTGGGGAAGGAAAGGGGGGATTGCAAAGCCTTCTGCGCGCAGCTGGTTTCGGTCGCCACGCCGAAGGGCCAGTCCTTGGCGCATGGCCGCTTTCGGCGTCAGGAGGCGCTTGGAAAATTGGCGACGTGAATTGCTTGGTCAATCCTCCCTTTGCTGCGCCCAGCTTTCGTCCAGCCCGCCTTGCTCGCAGGCCCGCATCGGTTCGACAGACAAAGGGCCGCCCTGGCTCGCCATTGCCTCCAAACGCCCCCCCCGCTGCCCCTCGTTGGCGGCCAGGCGTCGGCGCTAATCACCGGCGCCGCCCCGTTGATTTTCAATCAGGCGGGCGCCAGCCCGCGATATATAGTTAGAGAGGGGCACGCACACACACACACACATATTTGTGTATGTATTTACACATAGTCACACACATATGTATACATATGCACGTATGTAAATGAATATATATATATATATATAGGTCTAACCATATAGGTGTATATACAGGTACTTCTAGACTTGCCAATGTAAATTTATGTGTTTGCATACAAACACAAACTATGTATTTGTACCTGTATACGCATGAGTGGATGTATATGGTTATGATCATGTGTACATACTGTATAGTCATAATCATATTTCTGTAGATGTATGTGTGTATGTATATGCGTGTGCTTGTGTATATTTAGGTAACTATCTCTATGTATACATTACTAGTTTATGGCTTTGTTCTGTATCTGTGTACGCATGCGTGCAATCATGTATACATCATGACATATCTGACGGTTCTACTATAGCGTGTCATTTGGTGTGTATACGCTACATTGTATCGATTGTGTGAAGCCTGATACGTATGGCACGATCGATATTGCATATGATGTCAAGGTGTGCCATGCCATACCATGACATTCTACGGTATGTTATGGCGAAGGATAAGAAGGACGAGGGCGACCAACATCAGTTCACAGTCCCTGGCAGGCGCCTCGACTTCCTGGGGCAAACGGAAGGTTCTGGGTCGGGGGCGACGATGGCGAGGACGACGTGGTCGATATTGATGAGGACGGCGAGGGCGACGAGGACGACGACGACGAAGGCGAAGGCGAAGGCGAGAGGGGATGTGCCAGGAGAGGAGGACACGAACGGGGGCGGGGTGGGCGGAGGGAGAAAATATATGGGCATTTTTTAACGTAAAGGCGCAGGCCCACGTACACACATTTCGATATATATATATATATATATATATTTATTTATTTATATATATATATATATATTTATGTATATGTATATATATACAAGAAAGTAAAACGAATAAAGCATGTACAACAGTACATTGTAAACGTGCCGTTCTCTTGCACGCGTACCGGCACGAAAATAGACGTTGCCAATGGCAATTTTCAGTGGGTGCCGTTCTTGACAGCGTCGGCCGGCCCCAGTGGGAGCATCCCGTGTTGCAGGGGTAATGACCGGTACCTGTCCTGATGAGGATGTTTCTGCACACCAGCCCACTGCAAAAACGCTGCGATGCGTGAGCTGGTTTACCCAGAGGGCGCCAGGGACTTGGCCCTTGGGCCCGGATATGGCAAACGAGATTCCCCCAGTACCATGAATGAGGAATGCCAGCATGTTTACCCAATTGCTCTCGGCCCATCTCGCCACCGTGCTTGGGTCGTGGACCGGAGGTAGATAAGCGAACACGGAAATTGAGGGGCGAATCCGGAAATCCATAACGAACCCAGAAGTTTGGGAGACACCTGGAATGCTGTTTTCTGTGTCAGAGGCGCACGGTTTGCCGATAGGCGTCAAAGATTTGGAGGCCGCGCGGCGCGAGGAGACGTGGAGGAGGAGGAGGAGGAGGAGGAGGAGGAGGAGGAGGTGGAGGAGGAGGAGGAGGAGGAGGTGGAGGAGGAGGAGGAGGAGGAGGAGGAGAGGCGACGCCGACGCCCGTCAGGAGACAGCACGCGGCCTTGGCAGATCTGCATCCCTTTCTGGGCTCGCAGGGCCGGCCGCCCATGCCTTGGCCCCCCCCCCCCCCCAGCCACGGGCCGCGCGCAGGTGGCCACGCCCTCGAGCTGAGGCTCCCGCCGCGCGCCTTCGGCTTCCCGCCTTCGCTCCTCGCTCTCCTCTCCCCGCTGCCAGAGGCTCGGTCCGAGGTCATTGGCCCCGCGCGCCCTGCCCCATAGGGAGCTCCACCGCGGGCCCCGCCTGCACCGCTCGCACCGCTCGCCAGTGGACGCCGCATGCTTTCTGACACGCCCCTCACGCGTGCCGTCGCCCCGTGAAGAAGCTCCTCTCCATCGGGCCCCCCAGTCGCGGCGACTGGGCTCTGCGCCCAGGGACGCCTCCGTTAGATGTTTGTTTTTTCTGGGGGGGGGGGGGATGGGGGGCTTCTGTGTTTCAGCCGAAGTTCCAGAAGGATGGAGGAGGGGGAGGAGGAGGAGGAGGAGGAGGAGGTAGGCAGACGAAAGGTAGGAGGAGTGAGGAGGAGAGGGGGAAGGAGGAGTGAGTAGTATATTGTAGTAATAGTATATAGCAAGATGAACGAGCAGCAGCAGCATCAGTAGTAGTAGTAGTAGTAGTAGTAGTAGTAGTAGTAATGGTAGTATGAGGAGGATAGGGAGGAGGTAGAAGGAGGAAGGAAGGCGGAGGAGGGGGAAGGAAGGATGGAGGAGGAGGAGTAGGAGGAGAGGATGAGGAGGAATGGTGGAGGCGGAGGGGGGGGTGTTGAGGGAGGAAGAGGTAGGATGGGAAAAAAGGTGGAGGGGAGGAGGGGGGGAAGGTGTCGGGAGTGGCGGAGGAGGTAGGCGGTGACAGGGGATGACAGTGGGCAGGAGAGGAAGAATGTAGGAGGGAGGAGAGGGGAGGGGAGGTGGAGGAGGGAGGGAGGAGCGATAGCGAGGGGAGAGCGGAGGAGGAGGAGGCGGATGACGAGGCGGAGGAGGAGGAGGAGGAGGAGGAGGAGGAGGAGGAGGAGGAGGAGGATGACGAGGCGGAGGAGGAGGAGGAGGAGGAGGAGGAGGCGGAGTGGAGTGGAGTGGAGTGGACCCCGTTGCGATGCAAGTTCAGTTTAGTCTAGCCTGACCTGGGTGGGACGCTCGAGCGAGCCGACTGCTCGGCTCGGCTCAGGACCTTGGGCTGTACCCCCCTGTGGATCCTGTCAAGATATTCCCCTCCATGCTTGGACAATCTATGCTTACATGGCGCCTTCAGCGAGCGTATCGCCTTATCAGCGACGGTCCCGCACACACTACAAAACCAAACCTGGTGTGAGCCCAGCACCCCGCTAGATGTACCCTCGCCCCCCTTTCTAGGTGAGACGATGACCCCATTTACGTTATGAAAGGGGGGGTACATTCCGACGCCCAGAACTCCTTTACAGTGTCGGCGGATGCCGAGCCGAAACATCGAAGGCATTTCCTCTGGCAATCGGCCAGGCGATGGTGGGATTGGAAGGCTACAACCGCAGCAGCAGGCAAGGGAGGAGGAGGAGGCAGGGGAGGCGGGCCCGTTGGGGCCTCACGAGACTTCCGCGTCTCCTCACGCTCGGCCTCCTGAGTGGCCTGCATGCTGTCCAGTGCAGCTCTCAACAGTCTCATGCGCACAAGGAATGCACGCCGCTCATAATACAGCACACGCGTGCGGATGGCCTGCGGGATACGAGGTTTCTCCGCGGCAAAGCCCGCGAACTCATCTGCCAACGCGTTGCCAATGACGAGCGCACGTATACCTTTCCGTCAAGAATCTCCGCAGGTCTCAGATGCGAATTTGTCCAAAGAACCACAACATCGCAAAACGCACGTCCCTGCATGATAACGCCTATCTGCTGCCACAGATCCGCGTCGAGACCTGATGGTTGTTCGAACCTTTTCTCGTACCACCCTTCTGCAACAGCCTCGCAGTCCGTGGTATATGTTAAATATCTCGTTGTGATCCATAATGCTAAATATAGTTCCATCGATTCTCCTCGCGGCACCACCTGGCGGTCGCCCTGGAGCGGGCCAAAGACAGCACCAGTGATCCGCAGCTCTGGAATGATCCTATCCGTGCAGACGATCGCGACGCCAACCCTCCTCAGCCTTGTCATGGCCGAGTCTGCTCCTCCACTGGCGTCCCCGAAGATCTGAATCGATGCTGCTGCCGATCCACTGCCGAGGACGCCCTGGGTCAGCTCATTGACCCCGACGAACTCCCACTGGTCTTCGTGCGGCGGCATCGGCACCTCCAGCCATCGGGACGGGATGAGGCCCCTCAGCCAGAAGCACTCCGCCGTGTTGACCTGAGCCAGCGCCTGGGGCACCAGCTCCTCCGATGCCGTGTACGGGGGAGCCCCCGTGTTCTTAGAGTAACTCCACGCTCGATGACAGGGTGTCTCTGGTTGTTCTCGACAACGGTCACACACATCATTGCCACGATAACTGTTGAGCTCGTCGAATTTCCTCTTCTTTGTCCAGAAGCCCCCAGTGACGATGTTGATTAGAACCTCAGCCAGACGTACACCGTGTGGAAGCTGTGAGACTTGGTGCAGTAGGAGTCCGAATGACTCGTTGTCCACACCGTCCTCCATGCCTCCACCGCAGTAGTGTCCAGCGGCCTGGCGCCACTGGATAAGCTCCGCAGACTTTCTCACATCAGCGAGTAGCCCTTCTTTGATTATCTAGCCATTTGTTGCATGTGTAGATCTCATCGGGGAACCGCCACTTTTCCGTCGTGTTGTGCTGATACGTGTACGACCACACCGATGTGCTGGCAGGATCCCACTCAAGCCTGAGGAGCGTCAAGATGATGGCCGGGATTGGCCCCTAAACAGCTCGAACATGCTCGTTCGTGGGCCGGCTGCGCAAGTCGGTCACAATCCGTGGCCACACGGACTTGATGCTCTTCCTCAGGTCGGGCTGAGACTGCCACGTGCTCATCCACATATCGATGCAGCGCACTGGGTAAGCCACCCCAGGGTCACAGGACGGCGCCCTCAGATCCAGTAAGGTGATCAAACAGCGACCCCGAACTTCACTTGCACATGTTTGTCCCAGCCTGCGGCGGCAGATCTTCAACTGCTGTCAAAAAATGCCATGGATTTGAGAACCATATGTGCCCGCAGGCTGGCCTCCGTTTTTCTCTAGCTTAGAGAGATGCTAGTACCGCCGTCCAGCGCGACAATAACGAACAATCTTGTCATTCATACGTTTATGCTTTTCCTGCTCTGGGTGCGAGTTGCACGACCACCGCGCCCACAAGAAAAATCCACTCCAAGATATGCAGCTTGCAGAACCACTTCCACCACAAAACCTTTAAGTTTAATAGCTTTTGCAACTGCGTGTGCATCCTGTGTCGAGGTACACATGATTACTGATTTCTTTGCAATCTTTAGCTCGACCTTACCCAACTCATGCCCAGTTTTGACCACACTCTTAATAAGGTTCGTCCTGACAGCCTGTCGTGAACCCGTCGTCTTTTGTGATATATCGTCTATCCAAACTCTGTGGGCCATCATGGGTGTCGCAGTCGTCACTGCTTTCATAACAAAATGTGTTAACACTTTGGCAAGCCGAGTCCCTGATCTCAACCCCCGCACAACATTTTGGCACGGCTCGAATGGCGACGAAACCGCCCCCTCTAGTGAAAGAGCCCGCGTAGCCACGCGCATCACCAACTCAAGGTAGAGGATGACTGGCGGAAAGTGTAGTCGAAGTGCCGCCTTGGCCAGCGGCAACCACGGGATCGTGTCGTAGAACTCCTGCACGTCCAGCAGCCCGTGGCCGAACTGCAACCCCATCGTGCACGCCAGCTCCTCGTCGACAGCCCGAAGGTACGCCTCCTTGAGGCACGAGTTGCCAGCCACCGCCGCGTTCCACGCCTGGACCTCCTCAGCTGACCATTGACGAACCAAAGGTTTGCAGATGTGAGACCACGCCCTGGCCGGCGTTGATATGACCCCAATGGCGCGGTCCCCGCTCGACTTTTTCGGTGCGAGGTGCCCCGCCACAAGGAGCATTTGGACTGGCCATGCCAGAACATGCTCAACACTATGAAGTAAAAGCACCAACGGACTCATCATGTCTACTCCAAGTCCAGCCTTGGCTTTCATGGCCCCCGCACTCCGATAAACCTGCTCGACCGAAATAGCTGGCAAGGAGTCCCATAGAGCTTCCTCGCGGATGAGGCGAACAACTTCACGGACTTCCCCGAGGTCTGGAGCTCTGGGCGCCCAAAGCTTCTTGAATGCCAACGCCTTCTGATCTAAAATCTGTGCCGGGTGGATCAGCACCTTCCCGTCGACCTCGAGGTCGGGTGGCGGCGTCGGCTGCTGCCTCAGGGCCTTGTGAAGAATGCCGCTCGCGCTTGGATCCGTCACCCACTGCTTAAAGTCATGCATGGATTCTCGCACCGCCGATCTCTGGGCACGAGCTTGCAGCTTCTTCGCACTCTCAACAAACGATTCCAAGTCGGGGGCCGCCGTCGTCAACGGGCTCTTGAGGATGCTGATCCACTGGTCGAGGGGCGGCCCCTTGCCTGGATTGATAATCGTGTGGGCGTTGGGCGGCCTCGAGTCGCGCGGCTGCCCGCAAATCTTGGCACGCTCGTCAAGTTGCCTCTTCCCATTCTGCCGTGAACGGTGGCGCGACACACCTCCCAGCACTGTGTGTACCCGTGTCCACCACTGGCTACGTTGATCCCTGAGCGGTAGATGGCGCGCGTGCGCAGTAGTCCGCAGCGGGCGCTCGACAAACCTGGGCCCCTCTGAGCGTGGAACTCCAGGGCTGGCCTGAATGTCATGATGCACATGGATGGGATGGCCCTTTCGACTTTTGAAGCCCAGCCCGCATGCATGCCAGAAACAAGTGTGCTGCGCTGAGGTTCGAGCGAAAAGGCTACGGAGGAGGAAAGGTGAGGGGAGGCAGCAGCCACCGCAGATGCTCCTGATTGAAAGCCAACCTGGCTCCTACTTTCAGTCCACGTCTCCACGGGAACTTCAAACGAGGGCTCAGGCTTGGCCTCGGGGCTCATGCTGGTGGCTTGCTGCTGCTGCTGATTACATTGGGGTTCCGAGGGGAGGGGGGGGGGGGCGGGCTCCACGCGCCTCCGAATTATCGTAACTTCGACTCAGAATGTTGCCTTTTTCTCCGGCCTGCTGGAGCTCCAGGGGGGCCTTGCCTGATGGCTCTTCCGGAGGCTCGAGAGCGCGCGGCAGCTGCACATAGCTACAGAAATTGAGCTCGCTGGCCCAGGTGTCCTCCTCAAACTCGGGGTGAAACAGAAACTCGGGATCCAGGTCCTCCTCGGGCTCCCGCTGGTGCAGCTGACCTGCAGGGTCCTGAGGTCCAGAGTGATCCTGGAGGCAGTCCCCGGACTGCTTTTCAAAGAGCTCGACTCGCTTCTCATGGGCCGAGTGCCGTGCAGCTATCTGTTTAGCCTTCGCGACGCTCGACTTGGACCCAGCTGCAGATTCCACCTGAGGTCTCGGGGGCTGAGGGAGACGGCGCGACAACTCAAGATCACGGGTCTGCAATTACTGGCCCGACGCACGCAAGGTGATGGCTAAGCCTATTTGGGCCTCCACGCCACGTCCCTGATTGGGGCCGCATCCTTCGTGAAAGAGACAGCTGACGGGCTCATTACAACGTAATCTAGCATGCTGTCGTCCCCATTCTTTTGGGCGCAGGTGCCAGCAACATCAGCGGTTCTGATCATGGCAACTCCGACTCGCTCTAGGAATTTGGACTTGGCCAACGTTTCTGGCGGCATGTTGTAGTCCCCGATGCACACCCATGGCATGCGTATTGAGTTCAGGAGGCCACCCAATCTGCGAAACCTCTCACGATTGCGCCCTGACATACCAATACTCGGGGTAAGCGTACAACACGATTATCACGATGGCGTAGCCCTGTTGTTGGAGCAGCATTGGAAGAAAGCCATCTAACGAACTCCAGCCAGGTGCCCGTAGCTTCGCAGCAGGACGAGCTTCACTCAAGACACCGCACTCTAAATGCTTCTGACTGAACCACACCTCGCCGCCTTCGTTGGCCTTCGGCTCGTTGGAGATCGAGACGGGCCGCAGCGTGCGTCGAGCTGGGTTGACCGCAGTGCGAAGGTTGATCTTCTTCGCGTCCCTGGCCAGCTTGTTGAGCTCTGAGCCCGCGTGAATATGCTATTCAACAATTGCCCAATGGTCAAACGCTGCTGGTTTGGCCGATGTGAATTTCCATGCTTTACCCGTCAGGCTGGTAACGTTGGCATAGAAGATCGTGGTGTCCCTTCTGCCGCTGTCCCCTGACGGCCCCTCGGTCGAGGTCCGAGGGGCCCCTTTTCCTGCATCTCATTGCTTGTTGGGCGACTCTGCCGTCGACGGCGCCGCCGTCGCTGCAGACCCCTTGCCAGCCGCCTTGGTCCTCAGCTCCGCGGCCTTGAACTTCGCCTCCGACAGCCGCTTTGCCTCGGCCTTAAGGGCCACCTCACGAGCCCCGTCGGCCTCGGCCTTGGTCCCAGGCGCGCCGCTGCTCCCAGGGGGCGCAGGCCCAGGAGCAGCAGCGGTGGGCGGCGGCCCACTGCCAGCGGCAGGACCGGTTGCCTCGCCTGGGGCCTCTGTGGCCTGAGGCTGCTCGCTGCCCTCGGTGGACTTCCGCTTCTTGGCCAGCCGTTCCG